AAATGTGATGGTTAGAGTGATTATTTTGTATGTCAATGATCGAACGAACCAGTGTTTCTTTTCATAGAACAATGCTGTCTGAGGTATCGTTCAGATACAATCCAGGCAAAGTTTTTGTTCAAAAAGCACAGTCATCTACATAAATCATATATACCTGTCTGCTTAAGACTAGGTTTAAGCGCGTTAGTGTGTCTGCGCTTACAGACTGTTATTGGGTGTCAGTCACTTTGGAGTATTTGTACACAGAACACCTGAGCTCTAACACTCTTAATCATACCTAAAGGACAGGGGTGCTTTTTATTTCCTCATTATGTGTGTGTCGAACAAATGAGTAGACTGTGTTGTTTAAAGACAGAAACGTTAAAGGGGTTTGAAGACGGATCAACGTCGCTGTCATTGCTGCCTTGAATATGTCTATTCTTTTTCATTGGTCTGATTTGTCGTGATTTCTCTCTTTGGACACTCGGAACACCTCTGGTTATTCCTTTTTTTTCTGATTGCTTAATTTATGAGACTCGCAATCTGATTAAATTCTGTAATTGCCTTGTATGGGAACTCACTTTTTATTATTAAACCTCTGTTCAAATACAGATATAATAGGATATGGGAAATTCTTTAACACAGACATAACAAAGCCATTGTGATCTTTTAATCATGCTTATTGATACTTGTGTATTGAAAAGACTGCATTCTATAAAGGTGTAGGAACTGCTGGTGATTTTAGGACAAACATTAAGGTGAAATGACGCTAAGAAAATAAAATGTTTCGGACTTTTCAATGTAGTTTGTGTTTTGACAGTGTTTATGCAGTGAAAACCAAGGCTACGAAATAGAACATGGACCAAGGTGGTATGTGTCTGGACTGGGCTTTAATTGAGCTTTGATTTAGTCTGATTTTATAGTGTGTAATCTATGTATATTATAAGCAAAATGTATTTAGGAGCAGATGTATGTTTTGATCTTTCATAAAAAAAATACTGCTGAAAATAAAAACAACCTGTGTTTGTACAGAGTAAATTGCAGATGTGTGGATGAGACGTATAACTTGGAATAGAGTCAGACTCGAATCGCTCTCTTAATCGAACTCTAAATACCTGACAAAATTCAAAAAAGGAAGTGCACCTTACCTTGGGTTTAAACCTTAGAGACTTGTGACCATCCACAAGAGAGGAATAATAAAAATTTGTTGTATATTTTGACTTTGGAATAATTTGACGTTCTCACCAAACCTAAAGAAAAACAGCTGTGTTATTAAAAAGTGCAGTGAATCAGTTTTTCTTTACATTTCACTGACAGCACATTTAAATCAGTTCAATGGAGCCGGTCACTTTGTGTGAGTCGGAAGAGGAGGTGTTTTACAATGCAGACAAATGATATACCTCAACACATTCCATTTTGTGAAAAGCCTAACCAGCTGAGCCAAGATTCATAAACAACACAATCTGACTGCCATACTGCACAGACACTTTAAGCTTATTACTTTAGATTTTAGCTACACAATGAAATAAATATGAACTGCAAACTTGACAGTAGTGTAGAAAAGAGAAACTCTGGAGAAACTGGCTGATTGTAACACTGGTTAAGCCTGAAAACTAGACTGACCAACACCACCCTGGGACAAATGTTTTACAGGTAACTTAGTTCAGAATTATTTTGATGAAGCATAACTTATTGAAAATACAACCCGATATACTGAAATGTACCTGATTAAAATGCTAATCCTGTATTATGAAACGGCCCCTCTGATGTAAAGCCTAAACTTCACATGTAAAAATGCCAAACATGACACTTAATGACCTCAGGACTTTAAATTCAAATTTCAGGCCTTGGGCTTAAGGTTGGACTTCCTATATTTGACATAAGCCTTAAATTGTATTTACTAATATCAGCAAGTATCATCACTATGTGCTAATAAAATGTAACATGACCATTAACAATGGTATGATGTTAGCAGACTTCCACTGATATTGGTTAATTTCTGTGAATAACCTGTTAGCAGACTTCTTATAGCCCACTGCATATTAATCAATGATTCAGTGATACTGAGTTATCTTAAAAACTTTAAACTGCCACTGCTGTTGGTTAACTTCTATGAATATGAGAAAGGGTTATTTGAATTCTCTCCTCTCTTCAGGTAGTCATACAAATCCAGATGAGTTCAGAGAATTCATTTTAGAATCCTATCCAAAACTCAGACAAGGGGGTGGATTTGAATTGCTCAAAATTTCTGGAACAACAAGAAGTCGCCAACTGATCCTCATCTCCTGTCCCAATGAGGGCTACCATGTGAGACATTTAAAAGATTCACAAAACCAGATTGGTCAGGCTACCATCTTCATTCAACCACTTCAACGGAACCTGAATCTGGAACCTGTAAGTGCCTTACTTTACATAAAACCTGATATTGGTTAATTTCTATGAATATGAGAAAGGGTTATTTGAATTCTCTCCTCTCTTCACGTAGTCATACAAATCCAGATGAGTTCAGAGAATTCATTTTAGAATCCTATCCAAAACTCAGACAAGGGGGTGGATTTGAATTGCTCAAAATTTCTGGAACAACAAGAAGTCGCCAACTGATCCTCATCTCCTGTCCCAATGAGGGCTACCATGTGAGACATTTAAAAGATTCACAAAACCAGATTGGTCAGGCTACCATCTTCATTCAACCACTTCAACGGAACCTGAATCTGGAACCTGTAAGTGCCTTACTTTACATAAAACTGGTGCCATCTTATTAACAGTCACATGATTGTTTGTTGTGTATTACAATGAGCTTTTTTACAGGATTGTCAACCAGGATGCAGAGGCGAACTGGTTGGACCACCTCAGAAATGTGTCACGTGTGGACATGAGTTCCCTTTTTCATACATAAAAGTTCATAGTGATGAATGCATAAGGTAATGCTTAATGGAATGAAAACATCACAGTTGTCTAGCAAACTGATACAGTTATACCATACACGAAAGATTAAACTGTAAGTCTGTGTTAAACATCTTGAGTGTGCATATAGGATCAACGATTACAGCTAAAAATGTACAAGAAAAATAGGTGAACTAAGTGCAGAGCAAACTTCATAACAAATCAGCACATCTTATGTGCCCAAATGAAGGATCCATATTTGGCATTTTTGATGCTAACAGTCCCTGTGTAAAAGCCATATTCTTCTGTCTTCAGAAATGCATCCTGCTTTTTGAACTTAAGAAAAAGTTTAATTTGGATGTGTTTTGCTTATTTATATGACCCAGCACTACCAAAAATGACTTCTTTTTACCCAAGACCATCACAGAGTAGTGAGGTACAGACTGAGGTAGCCACAGAAAGTGCCAGCACGTCCCAAAGTGAAGGTAGACTTGTGAGCATGTTGACAACACCACAGGAGAGTGAGAGAGCAAGGGTCAGCAATACAAACTACTCAGTGCCACCTCAGGGAAATGTGTCAGTCCCAGTGCCACCTCAGGGAAATGTGTCAGTCCCAGTGCCACCTCAGGGAAATGTGTCAGTCCCAGTGCCACCTCAGGGATACCTGCCTGCTCCTCAGATCATTGATCTTGATCTCACTGAGGAGAGAGGCTTCGCTGGTCTGTTACACAACTTGAACATTTCAGATTTTTTGCTGTAACTTGCAATTGATATAATACAAGTTGATCATTAAAAAAAGTATTTTTAGATTAGAGAATTGCACCAAATCCGATAGAGGCAGCAAAGATATTCAGAGAAGACATCTGAAATTAGGTAAACTTAATACTTTTTACTCAGTTTGTTTTAGTCATGTTTTATGATGCACTCCTATTAGATATGGGTTAACTGAAGTGATGGCTATTTATTTGAGTTGGTAAAGATACCAGTCACCTGTTTGACAGTGCTTTGTCATTTGCCATCAGGCTTTGTGTTTGGTTTCCAGGCTGAAAACCAATCAGTCTTCCCTGACTTGTGCACTAACCCTGAACGCTAATATTGACAGAAAAACACAGAATTTTGTGCCAAATGGTATGTCCCGCTTGGTTTATGCTATGTATGTGCACACTCCAGAAAGAACTTACTCCTTGAGGACAATAGAACTACCGCTCTATCTAAAGAGAGAGAAAAGCTCCATTTCACTAAGATGTTGCATTTTTTTATTTGATGAGTAAAAATACTTAAATATAATATGCTCTTTGCAGTAATACTTACTGCTGGTGTTTGGGGCACCATTTATACAATAAAAATAAATGTGATGTCTTAAGACTGCTATAGGATGTAACTGAAACAATGCTATGATTATCAATAATAATATAAGGGTCACAGACCCTGAGTTTTGCTTCTCTTCACCTCTAACCTAAACACTGTACACACTGAGCTGTGACCTGTAGCCAGACATTACCAGTAGCTTCTGGTGGGGATGGGAATGTCAGACACAGCAAGTCGATGTCTACGAGTTAAGAATGCAGATCATGTCATACACATGATCACATTCAACTTAAATAAATAAAAACAAAACAAAAAACTAAACTGAGTTGCTGCTTTGTTACAACCTGTTCTTTCACCCGTCTTATGAAGATTGATGGTCCTCTTCCCAGTGTTGAGTTTTAGTTGGGAGGTTACACATCGTCATAGTTTGGGCCACTGAAGGGGAAATGCCCCTCAGGCTTGGGCCTTCACATGCACACGGCTTAGTCTGTCATGAAAATTTTAAGAATCTTTAATTGTATGACGATCAGTAACACTGAACGGCCAGAGTATTTCTCCCTTCTACATATCTCTTTTGACTACACCAGTAGTGCATGGGTTTATTTTTGAAGGGCTCCACTTTGTATGTATGTACAGAAATGCCAGTTTTAAATAAAGATGTTATTGAAAACTGATGTGGGAAAAAAGCTTTTTATATTTAAGGATTTCAGTTGATGCTGTTAGCATCGCAACAAGATAAAAGGAGGCTATCTGTGAAAGTTTGCAGAATATATAACTTTATATTTTTTCAATTCCATCATCATTCTCCAATTAATCGCAACAGACAAGTGTTCTTTTCCACCTGACAGTGACTAATGGAAAGTTCTGTAATGTGCAGTGAGAATCGTGGAGATTTATGAGACTGCACAATAACAGTGTTAAATCTAAGGGAATTCAGTTAACTCCTTTCTGCCCAGTTGGTTTGTTTACAATGAAAGTTCTGAATGTGTGCCTGTTCAGCGGGTAGCATAGCTCGGTGGTTAGGCTGACAGGCTAAGATAGGGACAGGCTGTGGTTTAGTGGGGTGCCTCTTGAAACACGGAGACACTTTGGGAAAATGTTGAAAAAGGCTTAATATTTTAAAATGTATAAAAGTAAAAAAAAAAAACAACGGTTGAATAGATGACAATGTCCTTAAAAAGCTGAACATTTTGATATTTGACTTTTTTTTTTAGCTGAAAGTATGCTGAAGTTATTAAGAGCCGAAAAACGGACGGAAGAAATCAGAATCATAAAGAACTGGATAACAATAGTGTGGATGCTGACTCGGCATGCACAGAACTATCATTAGTCCTCCACTATAACATTGTAGCGAGCGTACGTATATCAAGGCAAAAGTATAAAAATCGTTTTCGAAGCTTTGAATGTTACCAGAGGCGCCATGGTCGTAATAATTTTTAAACTGAAGGAGTTTGGAATCGTCCGACCAGACTGAGTTACAGAATAACAAAGGCTTTCCTTGCTCGTGTGTTGTTATGTATACGGGTCAAAAATTAGGACCACGCCTACGTGCATTCGAAGATGCTCCCTGTAAGTCAGCGCTGAGGGAATAAAACCCGTCAGACCACTCTGATATTCTGTTGTGACGTCATCACGGTGCGTCTTGTTGTCTGACAACGCACGGTCCATTCCATTATGTTTACTTCAATGATCTAAGGCATTTGTGTCGCCGATAACAAGCTGTTGTGTCTTTGTTTTGTATATAGTGTGAATATACTCTGTAGTTAACGCTAATTTATTTCAACATGGAGTCCGGGGAGGCCACCGAGGAGAGGACAGGCTCTCTGTCGGCAGCGCAGAGGAGAGCAGAGATTCGGAGGAGAAAACTGCTCATAAATTCAGAGGTCAGGATGAACAGAATCGTGGGCTTCGCCAAAAACGAGTCTGAAAATAACGGTATGGTGTGATATTAACCCAATATACACTACAGTGCTGCTTCACGCGTTTTTTTTCTTGAAACATGTCGTGACCCTCGACTGTTTCATCATGTTGCTGCTATTTGAAGTACAGTCAGCACATTACTTTGTTCACAAGCATTACTTTGTGTTACAGGTCAGTGTTTATACTCAGTGCAAGTTTATATGTTGATTTGGTTTTAAGATGATGTAACCCAGCTGGATGTGTGGTACTGCGCTGTGCGGGGAATTATAATTTTTACGACAGTTTGTGACAGGTACGTAAATCATACCTGCAAGGGGGGTAACACATGCTCTGAAGGAAATCTTTTTTTTGGGTAACAGACGAAGTTTGGAGAACCTGTCGTGTACTATCCGTGCTGCCTGACCGATTTACAACCTGTGTAATAGATGTTTTCTTGTTAGCCTCACGAGGCGTACATATTTTCTGAAGCTGAGTGGAAGGA